TTGCATGAATTGCAAACAGCCAGATGAGTGCAACCCAGAGCGAGAGAGAGACACGCAGTGATTTCAGGCTATGACTTAAGTGATCCTAAGGTGATCCTAAGTCAGAGACCAGAGTGGTTACAGTAAAGCCAGTGTTGCGATGGTCAATTCCAAGGACACATTCAATGTTCAGGGCTGTGAGGGCCCAGCCACTCACTGTTCCAAGTGCAAGTGACAGGAGTGGTGTAGGCGCTGGGGAATGGGACACCTGGCTGTGAGGACAGACCCGGGCTGTGAGGACAGACCCGGGCTGTGATTCAAGATGGCCCATGGAGCACACGCACAGACCGTCCCTGTCTAAGCAAGGGCTGGAGAAACAGAGAGTAGGAGAAAGGGGTTTTTTTGTTTGTTTGTTTGTTTGTTTGTTTTCCCTCCAAGTAAAAGAGGAGCAGGGCCATCCCTGGAGATGGGAGAGGTGGGGTGAGGGTAGTCCCGGGTTGTGGGAATAAGGAAGACTCATGCAAACTACTCGGATGTTTATTGGGGGCAGCAGCGACCTGTTAGACAGATACGATCTCGATGTGGAATCTGGGCTGCTTGGAGATGAGTCTGTGTTGAACCTGCAACAAGTCGTGGCTCGGGTAGGGCAGCGTACTGTCGTCTGGGGGCTGGAAGACGCAGATGGTGTCGCACACCTGGCAGTAGCACTGCCGGCAGCGACACATGCGGAGCCAGGACTGCACTTTGACCACCGCCTGCTCCTCCACCACGTACAGGCGCAGGAGCTTCAGCCGCCGCTGCTGCAGCCTGCGGTGTAGCACGGTCCGCCACCAGCACTGAATCACCCAGGCGCTGAGGGCTGCCACCAGCAAGGTCCTTTGCACGAGGACGCTCCGCCACCAGGCTTGGATGCACTTCGCCGCTCGGACCTTCTGCTGGTGGCGGAGTTGCGCCAATAACTTCTAACAGAGCAAAGCAGAGACCTCTTTGTGAGTTTGTCATGGTCAAAACCAGGGGACTGTCTGGACCCTCGGCTGGCCCCCTGGAGGTCCTGAGGAGCAGGAGAGCTGGGGGGACTGGGATGGCTTTGCCTCTCTGTCATCCTCCTTTTCCGCAGCCCACCACAGTCTCTACACGTTCTTGCCTGAACATCTGGCAGGTGGAGGCGGGATCGTGTTCTCTCCGGAGGACTCATTCTGGCAGAGGGTGCCAAGCCCTCGGTACACCTATGACCGTGTCCTCGTCGGCGCAGCCGCACTAGCGCCTCCCATCCTGTCACAACTCTGTGGAGTTGTGTGCCTCCCCCCTCAATTGTGTTGTCTCCACTTCCACTGCTGAGTCACTATGTATCCCCGGGGGACCCAAGCTGACCTTCACCCACATCCCTAATTCCCAGCTGTCTGTGCTGCTCTGCCCCCTGCCCTGTCCATCTCAGCCCTTAGCTCTGCTCACCCAGGAGAGGGAGGACTTTAGGAGATGGGGCCAGAGACGATTCCTGCATGCCTGAGGTTAGAAGGCCAGTGCTGGTCGTTGGGCCCCACTTACCTGTCGCTGCCGGTATGCATCCTGTGTATTTTTGCGTCGCCGATCAGGTTTCTGTAATCAGAGTGTGGGGTTGGGAGCCGGGGCAAGGATCAGTCTGTGCAGTGTCCCCACAGCCCCTGCTCCCTGCTCTTCCCTGAGCTCCATGGCACCGCCTGATGCTGCCCCCTCTTCCCCCCCCCAGCCCGGGGTGGAATGCAAGTGGCTGAATCTTACACAACAGTTACCGCCCATGGTTGGAGGGAGTGGTTCAGGTGTTCACACCACCTCTGCTTATTCTTCCCTCAGCCCTGGCAGGGGCAGGGAGGGTGTGGAGGAGGGGGTCACGATGTCACAAGGACAACTGTGATCAGGAGCCAGATTATCTCCTCCAGGTCACAGCTGTTGGGGGAAGGGGAGACACCTGCCAGAGACAGCTCAGAGTCTTCTGGGAGCCCATAGCCCACGTGAATGTGTCTGTTTTTGTTTGTTTGCTTAAGATTTATTTTATTTGTTTAAAAGGTAGAGTTACAGAGGGAAGGAGGAGATACAGAGGAAAAGATTTCCCATCTGCTGGTTCACTTCCCAAATGGCCACAATAGATACCCAGGGCTGGGCCAGGCCCAAGCCAGGACTCAGGAGCTCCCCTCAAGCTTCTCACATGGGCCACCTTCTGCTAATTTTTTCCTTCCTTTAGCAGAAAGCTGGATAAGAAGTAGAGCAGCTATGAGTGAAGCTGGCACCCACGTGGGATGGTAGCACTGTAGGCAGTGGTTTAACACCATGGAGTTGGCCTTTGTCCTGTGACCTCTGGCTCACAGCTGTCAGCCTGCACTGGGCACAGCAGCTCCTGTCTGGCCACTGTGCCAGCTTGGGCTTGGTGGAAGAATCATGGAGAGCTTAGCAAAGCCGTTGCCTCTGGCTATAGTGACAGGTGTCACATATTAGTCTAGCGGCCACTATGGCTCAGCAGAAGAAAGAGCTGGATGTAGAGTGAGGAAAACTAAAAGCTTCTGTGTCTGACGCCTGGACATCTGGGCCAGAGGTGTGGTATAGGGGGTTAAACTGCCACCTACAATGCTGGCATCCTCTGTGGGTACTAGTTCTCATCCCCACTGCTCTACTTCTGACCCAGCTTCATGCTAACGGTCTGGGGAAAATGGTGGAAGATGGCCCAGGTGTTTGGGTCCCTACCATCTATGTGAGAGACCCAGATGAAGCTTCTGGCTTCTGCCTGGCCCAGTCCTGGCTGTTGTGGTTATCTGGGAAGTAAACCAATGGATCTCTCTCTGTCTGTCTGTCTCTGTAGCTTTGACTTTGTATAAATACTGTCTGCTCCTCTTGTGTCTTCCCTGTCTTAAGCAAGTTTCTATTTGGCAACTTGATCTCCAAACATCAAGGACAAAGATACTGGGAAGTGTGGTTTTTGTTTGAAGAAATGCTTTCCTTCCAGGGATACAGGCTTTCTGTTATGGCCTGGTTATCTCGTACACTGGGATCTTCACCAAACAGCGGGAATACAATCCCACACACTTTCTTAGAAGTGTGTAGTCCTGGGCCCAGCATGGTAGCCTAGCGGCGAAAGTCCTCACCTTGAACGCTCCAGGATCCACATGGATGCTGGTTCTAATCCCATCCAGCTCCCTGCTTGTGGCCTGGGAAAGCAATTGAGCACGCCCCAAAGCCTTGGGACCCTGCACCCACGTGGAAGACCTGGAGGAGGCTTTGGGCTCCATGTTTTAACTCTGGCTGGTGTGGCCACTTGGGGAGTGAATCATCAGATGGAAGATCTTCCTTTCTGTCTTTCCTCCTCTCTGTATATCTGACTTCCCAATAAAAATAAATAAAAATTTTTAAAAATGTGCGTAATCCCTCCACGTCATGGAGCACATCCTATGCCAGATTCCTAAGAAAGGTGCATTGGATAACTGTGTCAAGATATGCAGGCCTGAAAATCACTTCATTCTAACACCCAATTGAATTCACATTTTAATTTAAAATTTAAAAATAAAAACATTTAAGATCTAAAAATGTAAAATTAATTTAAAAAGGAAAAAGATTTTTCCTTTAGAATTTTGAGCTCCGAAGGAAAGGGGGCCGTGTGTCTGTCGGAATCCATCTTGGGCGAGGGGTTCTGAAAGTGGTGTCCAAGTTCCACGGGCTGCAGGCTACACGGCTGCTGTTGCAACCACATGCAGCTTCTGCACGAAAGGGTTTTGAGCTTGCAGTTTCTCTCAGCTTCCCTGCCGGCTCTTATTTGTGTCCTGCCTCACGGTGGCATGTAGGGAGGCAGAGAGGAGTGTTGAGATCTGCCTTTCTCTGTTGCCTCAGTCAGCCCTTAGCTGGCTCCTGCCTCAGCGGCACCCAGAACAGTGCTGGGGACACACACACACACACACACACACACACACACACACGGCCTGCTGTGGCCCTGTCTCCAGGACCTTGAGCTGACTGAGCTTCATTTTCCGGAGCCTGGACCTGATCTCCTGTTAGAGACGTACCTGACTGACCTGATGCATACAAGAACACATGACCCATGCATGGGTTTATGTCTGTGTGTATGTGACTGAGGCAAATTCCACTTCATGTAAGACAACCCGTTTGGGGCCTCTAGACCTGGCTGTGCCAGAAGCTAGTCTACCTCTACTATGGACTTAGATAGCTTCTACTCTCTAGCAACTTTCTCTTCCTGTAATACACCCTTGCTGTCACACTTGGTGTCTGTGTGACCATCATTCTATGCATTGTCTGGGACTTGAAAGAACCCACACTTGCTCCTTGCCTTCCTCTCATCCACTCCCACAGCGCCAGCCCCGGAGTCCTGCCCTGCTGGTTGGTGTGTGTGTGTGTGTGTTGGGGGTTGAGGTGCAGGGGTCAGGAAATGGACCAACAGTGAGCTACTGTGGCTCAGTGAGCACCGTGGACCTGAGAAACAGGAGGCCAGAGTCGAAGCAGAGGCTGGGAGGAGAAGCAGCTCAAGTCAGGTAGGGAAAGGAGGGACATTGGCACACAGAAAAAAACCAAGCAAGGCGAGCTCTCCCCCTGGGAGGAGGCAGCTCTAGGAGCAGGTGGCAGGTGCCAAGTTCCAGCAAGGGAAACATGACGGATGTTTGCTATATAGGAGATTAGCTAGGGAGGACAGAGAGGGAGAGGGGACTGGACCAGACCTTGTAGGATAAGAGAGACCATGAAGGGGCTGCATTTTGAACTTGTTTTAAATTCAGTGGGGGGAAGTATCAAAGGATGGAGAGTGAAGGATATCCCAGGCTTCTAGGAGGTACCAGTGGGGCACAGCTCAGTCAGTCTCTGAGCCAGTTGCCTCCAGGCCCGGCCCTCCACCCAATCTATCACAGACCCACTCCCCCCAGCACAGAGCTCTCTCAACTCCTTCTGTACCCCACACCCCAAACATCCCTCCCTCTGAGTGTTCAGCGCTCACTTGTGAGTGTCCCCGGGGTCTGCAGCCATGCCCTCTGAGCCTCCACTGGGACGGAGACCTCCCCGGAGCTCGCCCAACACAGAGACCTGGCTGGCTAGCCGTGGTTGGAGCAGACCTGGTCAGTTCTTTATTGGGAACGGGATGCAGTCTGTAATCCGGCAAATTTGGGGTCCAAAAAGCACGTCCATCTGCAGTCTGAGCTGGCTTGATGTGATCTCGTAAATGCCATTGAGCAAGTAGCGGGTGTGGTTCTTACGAAGTCGCCAGAAGCTTTGGATGATGTGGGCCGCGCTGAGCAAAGTGCAGTATCGTCGTCGGGGACGGCACATGCGATACCAGCTCTGTAGCTTAACGGCTGCCCGGACTTCACACAAATAGAAGTCCAGCAGCTCCTGCCGCTGTTTCTGCATCCGCTTCGCCTGTGTCTGCCGCCACCAGCACTGAATGACCCAGGCTTGGAGCGCCGCGTGCAGGAGGGTGCGGCGGAGCAGCGTGCCGCGCCACCAGGCCTGGATCTTGGTGCTCATCACGACAGCATTAGGGGGCAGCGGCTTGGCAGAGAGGAGAGACAAGGCGCTCAGGAAACCCTAACCTAGGCCCACAGTGCTCCGGGGATGGGGAGTGGGGCGTCTCAGCAGCTGAAAGGGCCAATGTGACCTCGGGAGAGCTGCTAAAGGCTCTTCTGCTGCCACTCGCTACCATGTTGGTTCAGGCACAGTGGCTGCTTTGTCTTGATACCCAAACCCCAGGACTCCCACCTGCACAACTGTTCTCTTGGCCCTTAGTTCCTCACCCTCCTTGTCAGGGGCCCCTGTAGAGCAAGCACCTACAGACCTAGGGGCCCAAGGTACCTTGCTCCCTCGCTGCCCTGGGTCTGACCTCCTAACTGGGACCCATACCTTCCCGTTAGCTCCCCCCCCCCGCCCCCCCATGCCTGGCGCTCACTTCTGTTTGCTCTCATCTCCTTAACCCTCAGTTAACACATGCATACATGTGCACATGTGCACACGCACACACACAGTTTGAGCCTTGGGTTTCCCGGCTCACCTGTTCCAGCCCTCCCCGCCCCACCCCTGCATGCTCTGCTCCTCCCTTGGGGCCTTCTCTCCCCTGCCCCTCAGTCTGGGGGCCTCCGTCTCAAGCTCTATCTCAAGCTGACAAGGCAATGGGAGAAGAAGAAAGCCAAGGAGGAGTCGGTGCCTGTTCATGCCAGCTCCGGACGGACCCCTCGTTCATCCTGGGTGCTCGGGGCAGCCTTGGTGGACGACGGCTGCTCGGCATGGGGGATGAATAGCATCACGTTTTTCTGACCCACATGTCCATCTCTGGGCAGTGTCCTTTGTGGTCAGCCCTTACTGTGGACCACAGAGAGGAGTTGTCCCCGTGGGGTGACACAGGTCAGAGCTGTCATCCCACCTGGTGGGGGAGGGCTGTGCCACCTACCTTTGGCTTTGGCGGGGGTGGTGCCACATCTATCTTGACCTTTTCTGCCTTCAGTTTCTGTGTGGTCAACACGGGTTCAACATCACTGCTTGTATTTTTCTTAGTTCAGAAAGTATCTACTTAATTTTAAATGGATTAAAAACAAAGCTTTAATAAGGAGTCACTTGCACATTTCAAGGGACCTAGTCAAGAGATCCACAGCCAGGTCTGGCAGACCATCTTTAGTTCCACAAAAACCTGGCCCTCCTTCAGCAGCCAGAGGCAGAGGGGAAGGTGGGGCGGGGTTGTTCCTTGCAGTAGTCTGGGCTTCTTCCTTAGCTGGTGAGGGTGAGGCTGCAGATTTTTCTGTTGTGTTTCACTGGAGCAAAGCAGTGATTCTCTTAAACTTATGTGTTACTCTGCCCGGTTTCTCCTTTTTTTTTTCGGCTAGAAAGAGCTCTTTTCGGAGGCAGTAGTATGTGTGTGCGTTCATGCATGCGTGTGCATGTCTTCCATATGTGCACATACATACATATATGTGTGCGCATATGGTCACTGCATGTTGTGTGTGGGGGTTCTTGTTCTTGATCATTAGTGTTTCTTACTTCCGCTCCCACCGGTTGCTCACAGTGCATGCCGGGAGCCAGGCCAACTCTCACCCATCTCCCTGGTTCCCACAGCGCTGCTCCACACCTCCCAAGGGGCTGTGCGTGTGCTGCTCCACGCCCTGTCCTGCCCATCTCCATCCTTGGCTCTGTTCACCCAGGAGAGGGAAGGGCTTTGGGGGATGGGGCCAGAGGTGGATCCTGCACTTCCAGGGACTCTCGGAGCCCCACTTACCTCAAATTTTGGTGGCTTTTCTTCTGGGCTAGGTTTCTGCAATCAGAGTGTTGGGTGGGGAGCAGGAGTGAGGACCAGTCTATGGGTGTCCCCATGGCCCCTGCTCCCTGGTCTTTTCTGGGCTCCCATAGCACTGTCTCATGCTGTCCCGTAACACCCCGGAAGAACGCGAGCAGCCTAGTCTTACACAGCACTGACTGCCCATGGTTGGAGCCGGTGGTTCAGGTCATCATTCCCCTGTGGTAGCTGCTTCCTTACTGCTGACAGGGGCAGGAAGGGTGTGAAGGAGAGGATCACGATGTCACAAGGGCAACTGTGACCAGGGGGCCAGGTTGCCTCCTCCAGGTCAGAGCTGTTGGGGGAAGAGGAGACACCTGCTGGGGACAGCCGGGCATCCTCAGGGAATCACAGCCCAGGTAAGTCTGTCCTGTCCTAAGTATGATCTCCAGGGTGGCTCAGTCACAGGCCTGTCTTTCATCGGGTAGTGGGCCCAGAGCAGCTCCTGCCTGATCTCTGTGCCAGCTTCAACCAGACCCACTATTTCCCTGGCTTGCTGCCACATCGCCCTCCTCTGTGGCCAGTACAGTTGTTGAGACCATTTGAGGCAGAACCAGCATAGGAATCGTCTCTCTTTGCCTTTCCCTCTCTTGCTATAATGCTGCCTTTCAAATAGATAAAAAAGTATTTCAGAGAGAGAGAGAGATTCTCACCCCAAATGGCCACAGGGACTGAAGCTGGGACAAGCCAGGTGCCTAGACCTCCAATCAGCTCTCGCACATGGGTGACCCCATGCACTTAGACTATCTTCCGCTGCTTCTCCATGCATTAGCAGCGAACTGCATTGCAAGTGGAATAGCTGGGACTTGAACTGGCACCCATATGGGATGCTGGCCTCACAGGGAGCAGGAAAACCTGATGTGCCACAGCCCTGCTCTCATTTTGTAATTTTGCAAAGGAATACTTTCATATCCAGGGCTTTGTAATTTCCCAATGGATTCTGGTTTACCTTTAAATTTTTTTTATTTAAAATTTTGAATTTTATTGTATAATCCTGTATAGTCTGGGTTCTCCTCCCCGCAATTTCTATCCCCCGACTGATTTTTCCCATATTGTCACAACAGTACATTTCTTTATAAGGAGTTAAAATGCCATCAGTCTGCTATTTAAGTGTACCTTGATATTGCTGGTACAGTTAATGTCTGACAGTCCATCATCCCATTGTCTGGATATGTCCAACACTTTCACTGGGGGTCCATCTCTTGTTTGGAAGTAGGGATGCATGTTGCATTGTGTCTTCTCTTCCGGATATGGTAGTCTCCATTATTCCATCACTATACATTCCAATTTGCATGATAGTTTCCTTGTATTAGAGAGAGCATATGATATTTGTGCTTTGGGATTGATTTATTTCACTGAGCATATTGGTCTCTAGTTGGGACCATCTAGTTGCAAATGGCATAATTTCATTCTTTTTAATGGCTAAATAATAGTCCATGGAGTAGATGTACCACAGTTTCTTTAACCCCTGCTCTTTGGATGGGCATCTGGATTGTTTCCATGTCTTTGCTATTGTAGATTGTGCGGCTATAAATACAGGATTACAAATCCCTTTCTCACATGTAATTTTAATTTATTTTGGGTATATTCCCAGGAGAGGGATAGCTGGGTCTTATGGCAGGTCTATTTTCAATTTTCTAAAAACTATCCATACTGATTTCCATAGTAGTTATGCTAGCCTGCACTCGCACCAGCAGTGAGGGAGGGTACCCTTCTCCCCACATCCACGCCAGCAGGTATTATTAGTTGAGTTCTATATGTAGGCCAGTCTGACTGGAGTTAGGTGGTACCTCAATGAGGGTTTCATTTGTATCTCTCTGATGGCTAGGGAGCCTGAGCATCTTTTCATATGTCTGTCAGCCCTTTGAATCAGTTCTTTTGAAAAATGTCTGAAGCTCTTTGTGAATCCTGGATATTAGTCCTTTATCATTTGTAATAGTGTGCAAAATTTTTCTCCCATTCTGTTGGTTGCTTCTTTGTCGATTGTTTCCTTTGCTGTCCAGGAGCTTTTTAGTCTGATGTAGTACCATTCGTTCGTTTTTGCTTTGACTGCCTGTGCTTTTGGTGTCTTTTCTAAGAAGCCTTTCCCCATTCTTATTTCTTGGAGAGTGCTTCCCATGTTTTCCTTTAATAGTTTGATGGTTTCTGGGTTTAGATTTACATCCTTGATCCATTTAGAGCTGATTTTTGTATAACGTGATAGGTACGGCTCTTTCTTCCTAATTTCACAAGCTGCTATCCAGTTGTCTAAAGCAGCATTTATTGAATAGACTAGGCTTTTCCCCCTGGATTGTTTTCAGTTTTCCTGTCAAAGATTAGTAGTCTATACCTGTGTGGGCTCCCTTCTGGTGTTTTTATTCTGTTCCATTGATCTTCTTCACATGGACAGGTGTGTGGTGGTGAGCAATGTTTCATGCTAACAAGCCCAACTTTGGATTCTCACGTGGGCTGGTGCATCAATCTGACTCATATTCCTGTCTCTCCCCATCGAAACCACCAGGTCTCAGTCCCCTCACTTACCTGCAAGTACAGTGGCCCTGTCATTGGGACTCATTCTTCACTTACAGGTATGGCGGCGGCTTTATCCATTGATGTTCCTAGGCAGTAATTCCACACCCCAAAACCCCAGAGCTCGCTGCCAGGAGGCCAATTAGTGAAACCCGGTGTTGGTTGGCACTCTGGCCACCCACATTACCAGGATCTGTCCACTGGGGGACCCCCAGCAGGAAGCCTGGACCCCCCAGCACGA